CCAGGCCTACACGAGATGAGGCAGGATAAAGAGGGATAATCCCCCTCGATCCCAAATCATTGAGGCCAATTTCTAGCCATAGAATAATGGCGGGCAGGGGGAGGACTCCTCTTACACTAATAACAGTGCGGATTGAGAAATATAATAATAATTTTTACATATGGAGACTACGTTTGCATGAAAAACATCAGTTTTTTTAGAAATACAAAAAATGTATGTATTACACCCATTAATTGAACAATGTATAAATGTTTCTACAAACAAATTAACCAAAATGCGAGTAAAGATTATTATTAGTCCATTAACGGTTATACGTCGTTAGGATGAAACTGATTTTACTAATTTTATTATCATAAAAGTCAGCTTTGATGTTGACATCAAATCAATTTGATCTGACGAGTGTCGAACTAACCTAAATCCTAAATCACACCGGAAATCGATGTTCCGACATCCGACATAATTAACTCTCTCGGTTAATGGTTAATCTATGATAATGTAGAAGTATTTTTTTTTGAGAAACTATTGTTTGTAATTTCATTGGATATAATAGGGGTTTACGATAATTGTATCGGAGTGATCGGAACAAGAAAATGGCTTACGAATACTGACTCTGATGATTCGATCCCATTACGAAAATGTAACCTCAATGCTCAGATATAGAAAATCTGAGCGCTCTTGTCGCCCTTGCATATTAGAATGATCTGAAATTTGCGTATGCGTGTTGTTTATAGGTGTAATAAAAAAAAATTAAAAACAGATGTTTCGTTATGTTACAAAGAAAGATTGTTTTGTTGACTGTTGATAAAAAATGGCAATATATCAAATAGCAATATGGTAGATGTAGATGAACATTATTACCGTAGTGGTACATCATACAGGTGCCACTTTTCTCATTTATTGTAGAATTATATTGCATGTAGATAGTGTAGTGATAGATATTAGATTAGATCGGTTTCGACTATGTGCTTACGAAAAAGAGCACTCTGACCAGAGTAAGCAGCGCTCTGATCAGTTGGTCAGAGTAAGATATATTTTTCGTAAACACCTAATATGAATTGTCAGTCAACATTTAGCAACTCGATTAGCGCCATCTATTGATTTGATTTTTGTATTAATTTTAATTTTGTGAAAATAGCTCACTTCCATTGAGTATTTCCTACTTTCTATCTATGCATTTTTTTATCTAAATGAAATGACCTTCAACATAAAGGAATGCATCACATTTTCGATTATTTCAATTAATTTACAACACGACAAATCATTCCAGGAAATTAGGAGGGAGTGGTACATAAGATTGCTCCCTGTATTTGAAATCAATTAATTCCGAGAAATAAATTATATGATTACTATAAATTAGGTTATGTTGTGAAGTGAAGATTGAATAAAAACAATGGTAAGTTTATAAAAATTTTAATCAATAATTTAGAAGTAAATAAATCAAATAAGTAGTTTTATAGAATTTATTTCTTAGTCAGGTAGTGTCAACATATGTGCTGTAACAGAGGAAGTAAAAAAAGCCTTGAAAGAATTTAGATTTAGAAAGGCCCAGGATACGGCAGCCCTTGTACGTAAGTATAAATAAAAATTGGTTAGTTTTTTTTTTTGAAAATACTTTTTATTCAGTGAAAGTTGACCGAGAAAAGCAACAAATTATAATAGACGAGAAATTTGAAGATATAAGTATTGAAGACTTGCAGGAATCACTGCCTAGTCATCAGCCTCGTTACATAGTCCTGTCCTATCGTCAAGAACACAGTGATGGAAGAGTATCATATCCGTTGTGTTTTATCTTTTTTACACCTAGAGATAGCCATGCTGAGCTTCAAATGATGTACGCAGGATCAAAAATTGCCCTTCAGCAAGAGGCTGATCTCACGAGGGCCTATGAAATTAGAGAACTCGAAGATCTAACGGAAGAGTGGTTATTAGGGAAGCTCGGTAACTAAATTGACTAAATGTTTGAGTATAAAACTTGCCTCTCTAAAATATTAGGACAAACTATGTATTTACTGGATGTGTTCGAGCAATCATAAATAGTATTCATCATATACCAAGGGAATAATAAATAAAGTATTACTATGCATGTATAAAAAATAAAGCTGCCATAAATTTCACGTTGGGTGTCAAAAAAATTAAAGCAATATTCTTTCCAGTTAATTTTATTTGGACTGTGATATTAAATTAACCAGTTTATATGACATCGGTAAATAAATCAAGCCCGTTTCGTTTAGTTCCTAGATAATTTTAATAAAAAAAAAAGTGTTACTAATGTAAGTACAAATATTTGCTTTATTATTCACTTTACGATTTCCCTTTTGTAGCAATTATTTTTGTAGAGAATATATATCCTTAAAATAGATTATTTAGGAACCGTTATAATGTGCCGTTTGTTCAAATATAGAATGTATACAAAATTTACCTTTATACAGGGTGTAACTTTTAACGGGAGTCATATTTATATTTATATGCTGTAGAAACATGCTTGTTTTCTCAAATCCTGTTGTGAAAAAAGTTTTTTTTAACTTTTATGTCCTGCTGCCGGAAAGATTAATGTAACATTGGGAGCTACGGTGCTACTGTCTGATCATCTTTTTTGATTCGTATACATTTTTATTAATATCGTACAGAATTTTAAGAGTGACAACATACAAACACTGAAGTAAATAACTGCAAGATTATAAACTTATACTACACGAGATACCACTAAATATCGCTAAATTTTCCTGTAAAATTAAATTTAAAACACAACACCACTATACAAACTATATTTCGACAATACTTCACACTGAAAGCTAAAAAATTATGTAGGTACCGTATTATAGTTACGTTTTCATAAACCGATAAATTGTAGACTGAAATAAATGGTAAACTGAAGTGGTGGCATATTTGCTCATTGTCATTTCGCTGAATTAACGTTGGCCATTTTTCTAGCGTACTTCGTATTACATTTGGTGGATTGATTTTATATAATTCACCTAAACTAGATCAATGTCAGAGGTCATTGACAATAGAATTCACAAACTAAACACAATGTGTTAAAAAACGGTAACATATTTTTATTCAAAACTTGAAATTACTTTAAAAAATATTTCAAATCTATCGGATTACTAGGTATTTTTATTTTAAAACAAGTTAGTTTTATGTACAATTGGTAACGTATGCCCATCCATCAGTTAATATTTAATAAATCATTCAAAAATATTAATTTTTTAAAATGTTTCGTCCACATTAATAACAAAATATGATTTTAAAATAACGTGGTGAAGAAGTGCAAAAGCAATCTTTATGAAATTAATTTCCATTAATTTGACAGAGTCGGTTTAAGAGAGTAACAACAGGCAACATTATTAGTAGTGCACTTTCTACCGAGTTCGGGAACTGTCCAGTCGATTTAAAAAAATTGTTAAAGTATTCTGGGAAGCACTAGAGATGCACGGGACTTCAATAAATACAGATAATGGCGTATTACATTGTTTTGCATAAAAAGTTCCGATTCTGTGCAATACTGAATGAAAATGTACCGATATATATATAAAAAAAAATATATTTACAATCCGGCATTTTACATTTACATGTACATTAGGCTGCCCAAAAAAAACGAATATTTTTTTTCGTGTCTGTTGTGAAAATATGTTTATCATGTTTTAAGAGACCCCTCAAAAAATCAGCTCAAAAAAAATTTATTTAGAGGTTGTTCAAGATTTTTAAAAATTTCCAAAATCGTCAAAAATTGAATTTTTCTAAAAATTTTATTTCTCGTTATTTTATCATTTTCTAGATTGAAAAAATCTCGATTCTGAAAATTTCAAATCGATATTTCAATTTCTAAAGGTCACTGATAATTATTTTAACTTTCAAAGTAGTGTACCTATGTTTTCGAGCGACCTCAAAAAATAAATATCAACTAATAATTTTTTTTTTATTGACGAACAAAAGAATAGAAATAATTCACGACACTTAAACAATTAAAAAATTATAAATATTTGATACTCAGTGTGGTAGTAAGTTTTGCCTCGAGAAATTTTTTAAGTGTTGTAATCATGATATTTACTTCTATTCTTTTGTTCATCACATCCAATAAAAAAAATTATTAGTTGATATTTATTTTTAGAGGTCACTCGAAAACATTTTAGGTATACTACTTTTAAAGTTAAAATAATTATGAGAATAATTTTCAGAATCGAGATTTTTTTCAACCTAGAAAATGAGAAAAAAAATTAAAAAAAAAAATTCAATTTGACGATTTTAGAAATTTTTAAAAATCTTGTGACCTCTAAGAAAAAATTTAGTTTGAGCTGATTTTTTGAGGGGGCTTATAAAACATGATAAACTAACATATTTTCACAAGACACGAAAAAAAAAGAATTCTTTTCTTTTGGGCCACCCTAATGTACATATATGGAAATTTTTGAAATATAAAATGTAATACCTTTCAAATACTACTTTTTAAACAGGGATGTTGTATGGAAAAACACAAAATACAGCCAAAAAAGAATAAATTAAATTGCAACTGATTTCTGACCTGACTTGACGTCGAGGAAATACTGCTTTTTGTTTTTTTTTACAATAAAAAAGTAGTGCAGTCACACCATTAACATTAAAAGATAGCGTCAGCAATAATTTTATGAAACTGACTGAACTGCAATTGCTAGTCACACAGACTTAGCTATTTACCGCTAGATTGAACCATTGTGTTTAAAGCTACATTAATAGCTTTATTGGAAAGTTACTGGTAACCAGTGAACCACTTCACTGCCGCTTAATATCGCCAGAAAATGTACCGGATAGTATTGTATCGTAAGCTGTAATACCCGTACAAAATATCGAGTATAGCAATGAATAAAAAACTACCGTACCAAGCATCTCTAGGGAACACATACTCTTACCCCAGTTAAAGTTACACCCTGTAGATCTAATTTTAGTGTCAGGATCTCATTAATATAAAGTTTGGTGAAGGGTAGTTAAATTTGTAATGGTAGAATTTCATGAAACAAAATTATGATTTTAATCTTTTTTCTTAAAACAGGTTATCTTAATTCTTATTACATTGAAATATATTTTCCACGTAACTTTTTTGGGATGTTATAAAAAATAATACATTTTTGAATATGATTTTTAATTTAACCATAATAGGGAAACATTTACAAATGTTACCATAAATATGAATTAGGTATCATTTTGCCTTACCTGCTTGTTTCAAAAGAAACATATTGCTTTATTTTTAACATTGTTCTTTTTGGATTGAAAAAATATAATTTTCTTTGTATATTTTCAGTATTGAAAAAGTATCGCACTACTTCTATATCATTTTCTATTCAACTATAAATAACGTTAACTGCCACTTAAAATTGCGATACTTCTTCAAACATTCCCTACATTATATCTTCTTGAAGTAAAAGAAAATAATTTACGTTTTAAGTGATAACTTATCATTTTATTTGTTAAGCGAATCTACATCCAAACAAATCATTCCAAAGTTAAACCAAATAAAGATTATTTCGTGTACCTTCTACTAACGCTACTGTATATTTAAACTTTGCATTTTACCACATAGTTTCGTAAGCAATTCGTATTGGAATTTTTCACTTTTGTGTATTCGATACTTCTATTTTTGTAAAATAAAGAGGTTATTGAGATAAAACATTTTATTATAAATATTTACATAGGTGTTGTTAGAACATACAGTACGCAACTATAATTAATAAAAGGGTAGCATCAACTGAAATTATAAAAAGGAATTGATGTCGCCGACTGCACCCGTTTATTAATTATTTTTGCTACACCTACTTAATCAAGTCATTACTTAGAGGGAAAATATTTATTTGACAAATGTATAACAAAAAGAAAATATAAATAATACATCGTACCTGTTTTACGGGATGTCAGTTCTATTATTATGCGCTCTAGTGTCCTCTACGATGCTGTGACGTGTTACACAAAAACCGCATAATACTAAGAACCGAAATCCCAGTCTTTTATTTGTTACTACACTATAATATCTTCACGGACCTTCGGAAAGTAGACGCTACTTAGTTGGATATCAAAACGTAAATCATTCTGCAACAAATAGGGAATATTAGGGATTTCGGTTCTTTTCTCTATTAGTCACATTCTCAGAAAAAATAGTGTGGGAGCTTCTGGGGATAAAAATTTGATCGCCAACACATTTTAAGTTTAAGATGGATATACTAAAAACTAAGCAGCAAGGTTTTGTTTAAATAATGTTATACCAATGTCATAAGTTCAACAATTAAAATATGATAGAATAAATTTCCTACTTTAACAAATTTAAAAATTATTAATAAGTTATCAAGCAAAAATGCTGTTACACATTTGTATTTATTTTAAGCATTCCCACTTGAAAATGTACGTAAATTGGACATTTTAGATAAATTTTCTCTAAAGTTTGGTTTAATACCTGTATCTATGACATCCACAAAAAGGAAGCTTTGCGTCTAGTTAGAGTATATACAGTTTTAGAAAAATAAAGTTTTTAATAAGAAACTCTTCAGTCTTAAACGAAGAGGCTGACTTCTTAATAAACTTACATATTAATAAACGTAAGACAGAACGCGTAATTCCGACAAATAATTTTAGCTAGCACAAAAGTATTATCGTGAATATCACCAAGATTAAATAATAGCTATTAGTAGATAATACGTAAGCCTTAAACTAGTAGATTATCACGTGTGTTCAACACGATCCCTTTCTAATGCTATTACGTACCCGTAGAGATAATAGAAGAAGCTCAGGAGGTAAAACGCCAGTTTAATCCAACCTTCCCGTTGACACCTTGTCAACACATCTGCATTCATAATACTCGTCGGATCGTAAATGCCGTAACCCGACATTACTGGCCTTGTGCGGTACCTGTTTATGTGGTATGCTATCAGAGGGATGTTTAGACACAAGGAAAACCATTCCCCCGAAGCAGCGAATAATATGTTAAATAGTAGATGGAGCAGGTACTCTGGTAGAACTAACTGTAATATTAAATATTAATGAAAAAGTTAACAATAGTCGGTTTGGCAGGGATATTATGAAATACGTTTTAATAGCAACTGAAATAAGACGTGTCAAAAAAAAAAAACTTAATTATTAAGATTATTTAAATTAACAAAATAGAAATAACGAAACGCTTACCGGGTTTAAACTATTGCACTGATCAATTGGATTTTTGTAGTCTGTCTTTAATTCGTCAAACGCAATCACGTGAAATAACGAAAAGAATATTAAGAATGCATCTACGATTAGAGCTATGATGTATGAAAACGCTGGGAAATTGAACGCCATGTTTACTAAATTCTACTTTAAGATGCTTCTTTCCAAATCTGAGTTAAAATGACAGTAAAATGTAAAATGACGAAGCTTTTTAGGTTAGAGTCGGTAAAATAATTATCTATTTTCTAACCCTACCCGAAGATGACAAAATTGTTGAAATTAACACTTGAAACACATAGAGGGCACTGTACCTCTTATTTAATTAAATATTGTTTTGTCCCATTTAAGTTCATGTGATAAAATGCATGTTATTTATCAACTTAAAAGCCTATCTCTTATATAATTTTACAGTAAATAATATAATGAGAGTTACTAAGAGTAGAAAAGAAACATTTACTGAATTTGACCGTCAATAGATGTTGCAATGTATTCCATTCTTTACAAAGTTTTTCTGTCACTTCTGTGGTTGTATGTTGAATATTGAAAATGTTGCATTTAATCAATTCTTTTTGAAATAACAATAACAATATTTCAGTTAACTTCTCTTTATTTTTCAAGTATGTAGTTATTTCTTATTTCATTTGTTGCTCACTAGAGGGCGAATGAATAATTATTTATTAAATTTATTTAAAATGGACGGTATAAAAAGTAACGAAGAAAAATTATCTATATGTAATTCAGTTTGTTAATTTCAGAACATTTTTAGTTACTAGTGGCTGAATGAATGGAAATATCGTGAACGAAAAAGTAAGAACCAATCTTTTCCGAAATGTAAGTAAGTAAAAATGAAACTAAATAGGTAACGATTTAACATTGTTTACTTAGCAAATTGCTTATTGTCCTAAAATGTCGGTCGACAACATAACATAGAATGTAAAGTGGTGTTTTAACAGAACTAATGTAAATGTAACACAAACAACCAACATTCAACACTTTAAAGTGCACTTTACATCTCCTTGTCTTTCGTTTCGGCGCTCTACACCCCCGTAAATACCTACTTGATTCCCGCACGAACAAAAGGAACAAAAGTTTTCCGAGCTAATGACACAAGTAGCGGTGTTGCATTCCAGACTATTAAAAGAAAGATTTATGGCATAAAAAGTGGCTCTCCTAAACGTCTACAAATTGTCGAGCCGGCAAATGAGTCCCATTTATCACGGACCTAATACACACATCTGAGTTAATTTCGTACGCGCACTGGAATAAATCTGTATTGTTGACACTTTTATTTGTTTGGAATCCTGAGGTTTAAGGTTTGAATTCGCCAGTGAAAGCTCGCGGCCAGCTTGACGGATTAATCATAACCCAGTCGACAGCTTTTATTTCGGGAGAACCGATTTTCAACTGTTGAAATCATTGTGCTTGTTACTTGATTAATATTGTCATAATTACTCCTTCACAATGGTTGTGAAAGTTGGTTAGCTTTACAAGGAATTAGGGAATAGGAATTACAAGGGAATATAATTTTAGTTAGCTGACTATCGATCGGAAAGGTATTTAAAAAACGGATCTAATCCAGTCGAGTGAGGGAATCTCACGCCAATTTCCAAATCGCTGCGTGTTTACCCGGATCTCACTAAATATTGACAAAAATACTCGAGTATTTTTAAACAGCCGTCTTCTCGGGCGACCCCGGCGATTAGCTCGAATAAATTATGGGCATTTTTTTTGGGCGATCGCGCTCAGCCAGAGCCAGATTATATGGGGAACGTCGCCGTCGTCGTCTCTGACGAGCCGTCCACGGCGACGGGGTCCCGAGGGATTAACCGGGAATGCCTGCGAGAGCGGGTTTCTTTTAAAATAGCATCGCCCAGATGACAGCGTAGGTTCGAAGACGTACGGCCAACAGCTGAGGGAATGGAGAGCGGTGACGGACGCGTTGCCACGCTGCCGCCGCCGTCTTCGGAAAACGTTGAAAGCGAGAGGGATCTTATAATTCAGAAGCGGTTATTTTTGTGAAAATCATACTGTGTTTTTGAAGAAACTGAAAATTACAGTTGAGTAATTGCATTGCCATTCATTATAAGGCAGACTTTGTCTAAAAAGTAAAAAGGTTTTGGGAAAATTGAAATAATTTTACTTAAACAAGTGCTATGGCGTTTATTAAAGTCTAATAAAATTTTTGAGTTATACCTACATGACAAATTAGATTTCTGTAATACAATACTTATCATAAATACCATAGCCCTTTTCTTTTACTCATGATTTCGGAATCATAACGTGTTACAATCCGATGGAAACCAATCAGATTGGTAGATTTCGGATCGTAACACGTTATGATTCCGAAATCAGGAGTAAAAGAAAACAGCACATGTGTACCATAAGTTAAGATAGAACATCAAAAATAAGGATTTTTTTCCATGTACCATATAGGCTTATTTATACGGGCCTATTAATTCAAGTATTATATAGAAATGATTACAAAAATTATTACCTGGAGAAAAAATATGAACGCAAAGGAAATTTAAATATTAAGTTGACTTTCTTCTTCTTTAAACTCGATCCAAAATGAGGCACATGGTCAAAAAAATTCGCAAAGTTGCAAAAAACGATTTTTCTAAATTAACAAAAAAACTATAGCTCCGATCAAAAAATTTTAAATGAGAAACATGTAGGTCCTAAAAAGATCCATTGACTGATTTTTTGTAAGTATCGATTGCTTTGTTACTTTTCGAGATATATCGAGAAAACCGTTAAAGATCTAATAAATACTAGTGTAGTTATCCTGTAAAAACTTTACTTTCAATAAAATTTTATCAAATAATACAAAAAAATATACTGTTAATAAAACAGCTACTAAAATCTCTAGAAACAACAGGTGTAGTTATCCTAAACTATACAGGGTGTAACGTAAAGGTTGGGAATAAATTAAACGGTAGATTTTTTATTTAAAAAAATAAATATTTGTCATATAAAGTTATGCTCTACAGATTTTCTTTTCCAAGCTACAGGGCGTTAAAAAAATTAAAAAAATTTAGTTTTTTAATATCATTTTCAATGCAAAAGTCTTTTTGCAATGCCTATTTGACCATGTTTGGTGCCTGAGTCAAAGCATACTTCATAATATTTTTGTTATTTTTATTTTCATGCGTTAGCAGTGGGAAAAAATGGGTATTTTCAAAAGTTTTATTTACGGAAAAAGTACAAGAGCTAGGAATAAAACGCAATACGGTAATTTTCTTGAAAATAAAAAATTAATCATAAAAATATATTGAAAAAATATTTTTACCAGTGGCGTACCACATATTTTTTCGAAAAACCTTACGGCACAATCCGTACGTACGCCACTGAGTAACTTACAATTAGGAGAAAAACTAATTTTTTTGGAACTTTTTAGCGCCCTATAGCTTGGAAAAGAAAATCCGTAGAGCATAACTTAATTTGAGAAAAATGTATTTTTTAAACCAAAAAATCCACTGTTTAATTTATTCCCAACCTTTACGTTACACCCAGTAGAAGCTTCTACCGAAAGAAGCATCTTCTTTTATCACTTATTTCAAATATACAGGACGATTCACAACTTATCCAAAAATTGGGAATAGATGCGTCATGAAAAATGGAGTCAGAATAATTTTTTTTTAAATAAAATCCTTATAGTTTCCGAGAGTATTTAGTTATAGTATTTTCAACCATTACATTGCTGGGTTACTGAAGTCTCTAGCGTCATTCGCCCACGTGACTCCAGACGATTCTGAATACTGAAATCTCCGATTTTAGTAATAACGTTTTTTCGATAGTGTTTACATTAGTTTTTCAAGTGTCAAAAATGGCTTACGTGTATAGCAACTCGGAGTTGAGGGATATCGTTTTAATTTATGGTGAAGCCAGACAACATGTTTGTGTTATATGGTGAAGCAAGACAACATTTTTATTAGTTCGTAGTAACTGGGTAAGACGGGCCCAAATGTGTTTAAACGTTGGTGGTTTAAAAGTTGTTATAACATTCACTATATGTTGACCCTCTATTAATATTTTTGTTTTAAGAGTTAGATATAAAAAAAATGTGAAATACAAAAGTTGCACGATTTTTTATGAAATTTTCGAAAATGATAGTAGAAAAACAAATGAAGTCCAAACAAAATGGCCGCTTTGTTAATTTAATGGAAAGCCCTGTATATTTTTACATATTTGGATAGAACGTACCCTGTCTAGTATAGTCATATAGGGTTTGTTGGGCCCATCTCTAACAATAAGCGAGATAATATTAAAAAACGAAAAGAATGAAAGATGTTTTTTATTAAGAAAATAAGACATTTTGTAATTGTTAGAAGTCTTTCGGACATTTTTGCCTTTTTTTCCAATAACTCTTAAAAGAAAAAAGTTAAAGGGGGGATCAAAATATAGTGAATCAATCACCTTGTACATCCAAAAATTTTTTTGGATAATTCTGTATCACCCTGTACATAAGAACATGGTTCCGCATATCGAGATTGTGACAAATGCAACTTTTAAGTAACTTACCCAATTTCCAAAATTATACCCAGAATAAACTCATTTAAATAAGAGATTACAGTTTGCTCAAATAGAACGCGACTTACAAAAAGCAATAGAGAGACAACTTATTTTTAGATTGCCGTGTTTAAATTTAATTCCCGTCTTATGATTTCGTATTAAAAAAGTAAAAACACATATTTTTTATGTTGACTAATAAATGATTACAACAGTCTAGTAAATTTGCTAAAGATATGTGACAACAGCGAAAACAGTTAGTTAAAAATGTCATCAAAATCCTGTAAATCGAGAAATATACACCTACTAATAATGGACATTTCCAGCGAATTAAAAAAAAAAATTACACAGATACATTTAGAATATTTTTTATTAGGTATTCTCTATTTCTACCTACAGGGTGTTAAGATCTGACCCGGAATACCTTTGTCAAATTTTAGTGTGTCGTACGATTTCGACGAATATTTCTTTGTATATTCAGGGTGTTTGAAAGCCTCTACAAAATCAGGTCTGCTACAATTTTTTTTGAGGGGTGATTTATTTTCTGAATATTTAAGTAGTAAGAATTAATAAAAAATATGACAACGCGGCTCTAATTTAGTAAAAACGGCAGCAGGGACGGGCGAAGGGTTTCTTTACATAAAAGACTCCCACCATTTACAGGGTAGGAAAGTACCGATGGTCTATCTGAAGTTA